TATATATACAGTATACATATAACTGCTCTGGGGTGCTGAGAATCAAATAAGACTGTAAATGTACATTCCAGCTCCTTATGTAATTCAAGAACTTTAATAATCAACAATCCTCTCCTTAGGCCTTCCTCAAGATTAGTATCTTGATTGGAAATCTTATTGGGGCCACACCCTGATTAAACAGACCACCTTCTCCCTGTAGGACAAAAGAAACAACCTTTAACTGAGCTCAAGGATATATAATGTCCAAGTTATTAAAAAAATGTGAAAAAGCAACTAGAGGACCATTGAAGAAGACATTTACAAAGAAAAATCCAAATCAGTTCTCTCTCTACATAGATTTAATATAGACTTTAATTTAAAATGTCTTCTCTGCTTTGTTCATTATAATCCTGTTTGTCTTTTTCTACATCATTTGGAAAACATAATGGCTTGTATCATGCTGTAATGTTTTGTAAGTACATATTTTTGAGGCTGCTTTTATAATGAGCCTAGATTAAATGAATTGTTCTTTTTACATGGATGAGAGGAAACGATTTGTTAAAACACCAAAGCATGAGTAGACAGGATATTACCTGTACAAGACACATATGGTGCCCTATTTTAATTGTGAGATCTAACGTTGATTATTGAAACATTATGATTCACATTTGGAGCTGGACACTTTTAAAGTATATTAAAGCCCAGCTGAAAAAAAAAAACATTAAACACTACAGACATTTTTAAAAATAAATCCACAAAATGTAGTTGTACATTGTACAATTTATATGTTGTGTAAAATGTAGAGATATTTTGTCTCTATTTTTATCATGCGGTTGTGTTTTCTGAAAAAAAAGGTAGTGATTTTCGAGATTTTTTCTACAGCTGTTGTACATTGCATCTCAGAGCCACAGTGGATAAGACATGTTTATTTGTTAAGATGTACTCAGTATCACTGAAGAATAATCTGGTGAGTGTGTCAGATCTCAGTGTTACTGCTCAGGATGTGTCATTAGTAAAAGTAGAAAGGTGAATACTTTGTCCTGAAGCCAACTCATTTTCATACAGCTGACATCTGGAATTTCACAGAGTTTTCTGACAGACGCTGACTCAGTTCAAATGACTGTAATCCCTGTTTAGATTAGAAAATGTACATTTGAAGTAAGTTTATTTGACTCTGTTTACTGGAAAACGGCTAAAATATCAAAAAGACAAACAAACAAACAAACAAACAAACACACACATAGAAACATATTTTTAAGTATCACCTGACACGGTGGCAGATTAACTTGGGGACACCCGCTGTAATCCACCCTGAGTATCCTGCCTTCTGCGTGTCACAGTTATTCTTACCTCCCACTTCTTCATCAATGTTGTCAGCTGGTGTCAACGAGGGCTGAGTCACAACATCATGACAAACAGCAAAGAAACAGCAAACCTGCAGTGTTTACCTCAGAATGAGTCTTTCATCAGCTCGGATTACAGAACACAACTTCATCAGGATTATTCATGTCAGTGACCACAGCTGCACACTTTACATAAAAGCAGTGTGTTTGAATTTAAAACAGGAGGGAAATAAAACTGGCAGATGAAACATGTTTTAGTTAAAAATCAACAGTTTAAAAAATGACCTAAAAAAACCTTAATGAACAAAAAAGGTGCAGGGGCCATCTTGTTTTTGATGTGAAAGTACTTTCTTTTCTTAATCAGAATGAACAAGAACGGTAATAAAATTCCATCAACAACATCATTTTACAAAATCTGCAACCTGTGGGTTGTCGGTTCAAAGCCCCACTCTGTTCATTTCCACTAAAATAACAACTGATAATATCCCNATTGGTAACTTATATTATCCCACCTCTTCTTCATAAATAAATAAATGAATAAATAAATAAACAAATAAATAAATAATACTAACAAATTGATCAAATATATAACTTTCATTAGCAAATTAGACAAAAAAGTTTCATAAGTTGGCATAAGTTATCTAAAAATGTTACAGTGTGACAGGGCCTTTACAATGAGCTAGAAACAAAACAGCTTAACAAAGTTTATTTGGTAGAAACATTTTAACAGAACACAGAGAATAAAAGCCGATAACTGTTCACATACCTTGACCTGCTGCTTTTTCAGGTTGGACAGTGAATTTTGTTGGTCATAATTAAGTTGGACCACGGCAAACACAGCAAACACTTTAAACAATACAAATTAGTTTTTTTTTATTTCAACCACCTGGAACAAAAGTAAAAAAAAAAAGGCCATGGATGCTCTGGTGGAGAGTCGTTCTTCTGAACAGCAGGCGTGGCCATCAGTACCACCTGCCTGATCTAAAGTGTGCGTACCTCAGGCAACACCAGTAAGACACAAATGTTTCTTCTTCTTCTCCTTGCAACTGAGCTTCTTACCGCCACCCACCGTACAGAGGTTCAGTGTATAATTTTACAGTGTGTTGTTGGAACAAAATAGATGCCAATTACACAAACGAACAAAAGCTGTTTGAGTAAAAAGGGAAGTAAAAATGATTTTATTGTTAAAATGTGGTGGAGTGAAGGTTTTTAAATAAAATCTACACAGGTAAAGTACAAATTCTCAAGAACAGTACTCTCAAGCAGGGCTGGGCATCGATTCAGATTTGCCAAATCGATTTGATTCGATTCATGATTCACGATGATTCATGATTCAGTTTGATTGATTTTTAAATTAGTTAAGGATATCAAGCAGTAACACATTTACTTTGATACAGAAGACATTCTCAAAGGAACTAATTCTGCAAATAGAAACTAATTCTACTAAACTTGGTGCATTGGTGAAATTATAAACATTAAGGGCAAATTTGTAAATTGGAGTTTGTAATTTGTAATTTTACCAAGATTCAAAGGGTTTAAACTAAAAAGGAATTGCAAGAGAAAGTGTTGTTGGATACATTTGTTTTTTTAAGAAACTAAGAATAATTTTCTTGATCGCTAAGAAGTGATGGAATAAGGTTGCAGCAGAAGAGATGGGCTAATATAAGTGTATACTTCTGCCCATTCTTTTGAGTGTATGAAAACTGTGTATTTGTAACGTTTTTGTTTGCTTCTGTTCAATAAAATAAGAAAGAAAGAAAAGAAGAGTTCTTCAGCTAAAACATTCTATCACTGTGAATTACATTATCTTTCTTAAATTTTAAATAATAACATTGGTAACAAAACTAAATGATTTTGTTAGACTGTCATGTTTCACACATTTATACAGGAGAACAGTTTCAGTCAGATTTTTACACACCGTAGTTTTCGAGCCGCTCGAAGCATTGTTTCCTGCTACCGTGTCCGAGTGCAAATCTTAGTAAACAAAAGGTTTGCAAAGGTTTGCACATGGTCTCTGGTGCCTTTAAGTTCAGCTGAGAATCAGCTGTAATGTTAGTGATTCTTTTGTTTCTTTTATTTTGCCCCAGACAACTTGTTGTCAGGAGCTAACGTTAGCACTGACCGTCAACTGGCTGTAAACCTATACAGGAGTGATACACAACATGGAAACACGCAGCTTCATCGCACACAACACCCATGGGGAAAAATCCATCTCATGACTTATGAATCGATTGTCCCAAATTTGAACGAAAATCAATCCAGATCGATTAAATCGATTTTTTTTAACTGAGCCCTACTAAATTTACTTTGTGACTGCCCACCCCTGGGCTCACCAGGGTTCATAAGGGTTAGGGTCTCTGGGAGCCCCCATTCATGAAAACATCCAGCCCCAGTGGGAATCATCTCGTTGCTGGTGTTATGTTCCAGTGGTTGTATGGATATTAATAACCTTCCCCTTCAGAGACGTGACACGATCTCACGGACGCCGTTTCTTGGCAGATGGCTGGCCCTGGTGTGTCAGCGTCGCTGATGAAGCCTCTAAAATAGTGCTCATTACTGCACCGCCGCAGCTCACGCTTTACTAAGTTTAGGTTCGGATAATGAACTCAAAGTATCCTGGTTGTGAAGCCTTGCGTTCACTTCTGTTACTTTCAAGCAAATTAGTTTCCCCAAGTCGGGAAATGCTCCCTCAGGATCCTGAGTCAGGAGTCATTCTGTGTCAGAGTTATAGTTGAAGGATTAAAAAGTGTCTAAATGGCCTAATCAAATTGCCTTTGGCTTTAGCCCTATCTGTGCAACAAATTCACCCCAAATCCCTTCTTCAATTTTTAATGTATTCAACTGACAGGCTAACGGAGAAAAGGCTAATTAAAAAAAGGGAAAAGCTGACTGTGAAAGCAGCCATGGGCAGTCTGCAGAGATAAAATGTCAACTGTCCAGGTCAACATGTGTAGCTGTGCGACGGGCCTCCTGCTGTAGTCACTCACACACAGTTAGTTACTGCAAAACAAAAGAGATTACAATGTACTTCAAATTAAACAAAACTAAAAACTCTCAGTACTTTCAGAGAGGAAGTTGTTGCTTTATTTTACAATGAACGAAATTTTGTTACAGAAATCGCAAAACCGGATTTTTAATCAGTTATATCAACTTTTTGGATCATTTAATTTAGGCATAAGAGCTGCAATTTGATGTACTGTAACTGCAAATGTTCTTCCTTTAAATATATATATATATATATATATATATATAAGCAGTTATAAGCAGTTAATATCTTACCTGCTGTAGATAACTCTTCGAATGACATCCGTTTGGAGAAAAAGAGTTTAATTTGGACCTGATTGACAAGCTAACCGCTAATCCTAATGAGACCAGTTTGTTTTGCATTGCAACATTATTCACATTGTATACTATAATAGTTTTCAAGAACAAAAAGAGCGACACCAGCTAGCTGTAGCACTTCTGGTGCATCTCTGGGCACTTCTTGCATGAATATTAGACCTTTTTTTTGCTGGATTGAGCATCTATTTCTAAATTTAAAGTAACATAAAGGTTTACAAAGTATTGTAACATTTGCACGAACCACTGTAATTTCAGTCAAAATTTATTAAAATTTCTGCAAACTGAGGTCAAACAAAGCTACTGTATCTGTGATAGGTAAGATACTTATTATTCATAGAGCCACAGAACCCCACTTCAAAAGATTTAAACAGTCTCTTTGACAATTTTCCAATTATATTTGTTTTAGTGAATAAAGACATGTTTTTTACACGCAGCCAACTAACACATAACCTCACATTGTTGGATTCTGTGTGTGTGTTGCTCACTTTTCTTCTGTGTGCCATAGTGTAGTGGTACATGTTGATATGATCTGACCCGACCTGTCAGCTCATATCTGTATTTATTGTGTGGTTTGGTGTGGGGGGACGTGTTCCCCCAATACTGTCTGTGTCCTGACTTTTTCTGTGATGGTTGTGCTTAAATACTGTTGGTGGACAAAAACACAAATCTATAGGCAAACATTCAGGTATGAGGGAAAATAATGGATAATGGGTTATTAAATGCAAACTTTAGTGAAATCATGCAGAATAAAGTCAGTCTGGAAGTTTCAAATTATACTTCTTGTATAAAAAAAATATCTAAAAAAGGTTAACTATTACTCTAGCATTACCTGAGAACTGCATGATGCAATTAAGCATCATGACATCAAAATAGCTTTTCTTTTTATTTTTTGTGTTGCTTTCTAAAAACTCAGCTTGTGATGCACAGGAGTCGTAATAATCAGTGCTTTCATGTGTGTCTTTAACCACGCCAGTAGATTCATTCAATTATTAAAACCCCAAAAAAAGAGTTTCTATTTAGGACATAGGTTGGCAAAAACAAAGAATTTTGTCCAAAACCAAATAGAGGAGGCTGAAAGAAAACTGTGTTTTGTCTACAACAGCCAGATGTGTCTGCGTCATGTCAAACTGTCCCCCCTTGCCTGTCTCTGACGCTGTCCTTGTTCTCTGAATGTCCATGACCTCGCGGCCCGTCCGACGACACGATGTTGTCGTAAAAACAAATGATCAGCTTAATGAGGATAGAGAGAATTAACCGCCTTCATATGCTACATTCACGCTGTGTGTCCCACTTTTTCCTGCTACTGTCGCACGCCGACGACAAATGCCACACAAGCCCGCGCACACATACTCACATTGATTCGATGTTTGTGTCATTAATAAGCTATGTGTTGCTGTTAAATGGGAAATAAAACCCACTTCATTGCAGCTTTCCCCTAAAAACCGCAGCCATCGATCATATCCCGCTTTTAATTTATTGATTTTGTTTGTGGTATCTGCCATCGATGCTCCTCGTATTCCTGTTTATTATTTCTCCTCCTCAGTTCATTCATTCATTCGTTCATTTCCCTTCATCCCCATGGTGTTTGTGTTTGTTTTTGCTCCCTCCTCAGAGATTCATCCATCCGTCTGAGCACCCTGTTCTCTCCATCCCCTTCATAGGAATGATTATAATTGTGGCTGTGGTCTGGTGCTGGTTGTCGGAGCTGGCGTCCCAGAGAGCAAGGTATGGGAGGAACCCACCACTGTCTGATGCATGATACACACATAATGGCTCATTAGTTCAGCCGAAATTACACACAGACACACACATACACACACAATGGAGCAACGCAGAGTGTTATTTTATTTTATATTATTTCAGGTATTAGGAGAAAAAAAATGTTTCTCTGGAAATTAATTAGTACACTAATACAGCCTGCATCCAATGTTTTATGAGCAGGAAGCAAATCGGTTAGACTCCAGAGATGCACAGCGGCAAATTAAGATTTTATTTCTGTTTCAAAAATACAACATTAGTGTTCAAGCATGAGAGTTCAACGCTTCTTAAAAAACAAATAAATACTAAAAATAAATAAATCATGTTTTAATTATGAGGCTGAATGAGATGATTTCATCACAAATGTTCATTGAACAAGTGAAATAAACATTTTGTTCAAGAAAAAATAGACAATCGACTGTTGATATTTTGGTTAAACAAAATCTTTGACTTATATTTAGAGGGAGGCTTTGTGGTCAGGGCATGTTTTATGGATGTGGGAGCATCTAAAGTTGAACAAAAAGGAAAATTACAGGATATATTCCAGTTAATACTGTAATAATGAGGTTAACACTTAGGTTAGGCGTCATCGTGGTGGGCCGGGTGGGCAGTTTGACAAAAATAACAAAATATTTCAAGAAACAGAGAAAATGTAATATTTTAAAAAGGTCATTTGTTGAGAAAAAAAGGAAATACACTACTTTTCTAGATAGATTAAAAAAACATTAAAAAGCCTATGACATATGAAAATTTGCAGTGGTCCAAATGAGTTTATCTCCTTTATATTCAGAATTTAATTTTTTTTAATACTGTATATAGTTACAATACTTTAGATTTGCTTTGGTATGAAAAGCTCAATAAGTTCTGACCTATTAAAGATGCATCTGGACTGTCTTTATTTAAAACATAAACATTTACAATGATTTGAAAGATGCCAACCAGCATCTCTTGGAACATAAACCATTACAATAATGACACTATTATTATGAAACTCCCAAATTATTAAACATCCCTAAATATACAGTTAGCAGTGTGAGACTTCATTCTGCACTCTGACAATCCTGGAAATCTTTTTGTGGATCTCTATTAATTGTATAATAAATATTTAAATCTGAAATAGTGACCTTTTCTTCCTTATTTTGTTTTGTTAAAATGTATATGACATGGATTTTTAGTTTTTATGTTACATATCAAAATATATTTGAGTCCTACAAGTTTATGCACATCCTAAGCTCACAAATCACTCTTTGTTCGGCTTACACACAAACAGAAACACAAAACAATTAATTGATGTTTTAACAAAGTCGTTGTCACAACTAGTGGGGTTGGAGTATTTAAATCAGGGATGGGCAACTGAAATGATGGGAGGGGCCACGGTTTTTTGTTGACACTACCAGTGGGCCGAATAGCGCTGCACACTTACCAAAAAATGTTTGTTAAACCAACGTATAGTGAAGTAACTTAACACATTTCCTGCTCAAATGCATGTATAACCACTGTACTCTTGTTTAATAAATATGAATAAAACAGATTTGAGGCAAACAAAACACTTGAGCGAGCTGCACTGCAACAACATAATTGATATTATTGCAACTTCAGTAAACTTCTCATATTTAGCTTTGTGCAGCGTGTTGTAGTGGGGACTTGTATTAAAATCCTTCATGGCAGACAGGGTCTCTGAGCATACTAAATATATAGGTTTGACTTGAAATTATGTGAAAAAACCTTCAATATAAATTCTTATTTATTTACTTTATAAACTCACCCAAAGCAGCTCTTAGGATGTTTTTGGCGGCCCGGAAGAAGGTCACCCCCGGTCCAGATAAGGCCCTCAGGCTGCCATTACCCATCCCAAATTTAAATGCTGGGTATCAAGAAACAGCAGCTTATAACTCTTGCATTTAATTAGATTTTGGTGAAAAACAAAACAAAACACTTGTGATGATTTGGGAGCTTTAGATTTCCTGAAATGTGGACCTTTTGTTTTCAAAGACCTTGAATGATTCATCTATAGAAGACAGAAAGCCACTTCAGACTCCTAATGCTGCTCTTTTCCTGTGTTCCCTCAGGGGAGTGAGGTAGGTTGGAACTCCATAGTGACTCTTACTGCAGCCTCAGCACTGATGTTAGCCGTGGCTAGCTTCCTGAGAGCCTTCGTCCGATGTTGACTGGATGGGAAACAGCTGTACGCAGGTGGACGTCTGCTTCAGACCAGCCTTCTGTCTCTCCCGCCACATCTATAGACTCAACCGAAGTTATTTAAATGTGACAACCAACGACAGTGTGGTAGAAAAAAAATGTGTGAATGGGTTGTTTTGGGTCTGATGAGACGACACCACAGGTACACATAGACTGAGAATGAAGCAGACAGAACGCATTGGAGACAATGAGCTGACCTTCAGCCCTCGAGTTATTATGTTTAATAAATGTAAGCTAGTGATGTGTCGTCTGTCTTCTGGGTCAATAAATATGATCTTTTCTTATTTTAACAATGTGACACAATGAAGGTCTTACTTGTTAATGCTCAGTAAATGGGTTTAATTTAATTTAGCCATTATTTATTTATTAAATGTGTTGAACTTTTGCTTGATAATAATGACAGACGTTCAGGCTGGACTTTCAGTTTATTGAAAATAAACCCAGAGAATGAGCTCTTATCAGAAACTTACCTCAGATTGAGAAATTCACAAACAGGTTTTACTCGACCCTTTCATTGGATTTCTATTCATTTGATTTTTCATTAATATTTAAGACGTACAGGTATCTGAATCCCTGCCAATCCGTGCTGCAATGTAACCTCTGAAATTAAAGCCAGCTCCTCTTCATGTGCAGGACTGCTTCTGTTTTCTAACTTGCCTTCTCCTAGTGTCTTCAGTCTTTGTGTAAAAGCTATATTTAACTAATTTGGGAGGAAATATTTGACTCAGTTGAGCTCTGTTGTCATCTTTTTTTACATTTCAGCTTCAGATTTTTATCTCCCCCCCCCCAAATGAATGTATGAAAAGGTTCTTGAGCTTTCTAATGGTACACGGTTTGAACGGGCTGTCAGTTTTATTTGTAAAAAAAAAAAAGGCATTTACAGATGAAATCATTAAACCAGATTTATAATCATGGTTCAAAATATGTAAATAGGAAGGTGACAGAAAAAAAAAACAAGTTGAAGCATTAATTACAAACATTTTATGTATTGGAGGAATCTGTTTACATTTGTGAAATGTTATTTTTTGTGACAATCTTTTAGAGCTAAACAAGCATGCTAGAAGACATGTAGAAGTACAATTTTTATGTTGGTTTTTGTGCTCCTTTGTATTCCGTGTAAATAGACGTGACAAATGGGAGAGGTAATGTTCTTCGATCCATTTGTACTAGCTTTGTAGAAAGTTTGTTCTATTTTGAGATAGCGTTGTATATTTGATAGCCAAATTCTAAGCCATGTTTATTCATGGGGACATTATTCAGAGGAGTTTTAAGCATTTCAATCCATTTTTCCAGATCCCCACCCCATGTTCAAACGTGGTGCAGCCACTGCATACATTGAAACTCTCACGGACACTAGTTGCTGCCGGAAAGCACAAAATAACCAGTTTTTCCGCTTTGTTGAGTTTTAAAAAATGAACCGAAATTTTTCTCCCAGACATTTATCACTCAGCAGAAACTTAGCAGGCTTTCCACGTATGAGCGGCAGCTTCCAGGGCGTGCCACAGGACTACAAATGTCACAGCTCGATCAAGTCCCAACAGAAAGGGGAGTCCTATTAAATATTGTACAACTAAAGACGTCTCATGTTTAATTCTTAATTTATTTTACGAGTAGAGTTTTCAGAAGCCTCTATGTTGCACGTGTTTTAAAACTTGCTGCTTTACCTGTTAATCGCATTGTTGTTTTCAATATATTTGTGACTATTTTGTTACCCGGAGGTCTATTTTGCACTGCAAATGACTTGAGGAAATAAATATACGCAATCTCCAGTGTGACGACTTTCTTTTCCCTGGGGTCCTGTGCAGTGGTCAAAGGACTGTTCCTGCTGGTCAAGTATTACTTCAATCTAAGTAAAAGTAGCTCTCTGAAAATTATTAGTAAAGTTAAAGGGGCAATATCATGTAAAAAAAAAAAAAAAATATATATATATATATATGTATTTAGCTTTATATCATGTTATAATTTTGTCCTCTCATCAAAAATATGCCCGGAGTGTTGCTTTGATTCATTCATGCATGTTTGAGAAATCCTGTGCTGTCCTGAGCCAGCCATTCAGAAGGACAAAAGCAACCGGTTGGTCCTAGAGCCGCCTTTCAGGAGCAGCTCCTCCTCTGGGCCGAGCTTCCTCATCATAGAGCACACCTCCCCCGTGACTCCTGCAGGCTGCCGGCGGCAACAACTAGCAAACAAACACCTGATGAAACTGTGTGTCTCCTGAGCTCCTAATACCATTTCTCAGTCCAGTTCTTTGCAGATTATATAATGCCTTTGAGGAAATGTATTTCCAGATGCAAATGATGTCACAATTTGCAAAAAATAGTTTGACTTTATTTTTTGATGTAACCCTCTGATGTGGGGGTGTGTGTGATGTATTCATTTGTGCAATCCAATGATAGCTTTGTGAAGAAAAGGGAATTTAACAGTGAACTGATAAGATGATGCAGCAACACTCAGAAATACGCAAACACTGATTGTTTTAAAAACAAATCAATCTGCTCTGGCTCCTCCCAGTGGTCCTGCCATTTTCAGAAACACACACCTGCAGGAGGTGTGTTTGTTCAAATTTTCAGGCTAAGTCCACGGTGTTCGCAGAACTGCCTGCTGCAGCTTTACGGAGATCTAAATCTAATCTTTGGGGTAAGCATTTCACATTGAGCTTTTTATTTATTAGCAGTATATGGTAACTAAGTACATTTACTTCATTACAGTACTTAAGTAGTTTTTTTGAGGATTTGTAATTTTACCAATTGATTTTTAAACAGCTATGTTTACTTTTATTTTGTTACATTTTAAAGCTAAAAATGATACATTTACTTCTTTACTTTAAAATGTAACACCTAGTTACTTGTTACAATATTAAATATGTTTGAACTCATCATGAAAGATGATGTTTCTGCACTCTAAAATGAAGTGTTGAGTTTACTCAACAAAGTCTGGCTCCACTAAGCCTGAGCAAATTGAGCAAAGAATATACATATGTTGCTCAATTTACTCAACCTGGCTTAATGGAAGCAGTTTGGTTTGTGGTGGCACGATTTACCAAGAATGCAGAAACACGTTGGAATAAATGCACAGAAAGTCTGCATGTATGGTCATCAAATGGTTTAATCTGAGCAACAACAAAACAGAGGTCAATCAGCTAAGTCTGTCGTGTTGTGGCTGGCTCATCAGTGGAGAGCAGCCGATAATATAACATCCTGTGACATGCTTACAACCAATCACAGTTCGCCAACTGTGAACCATCTAACCAATGACAGGGCTGTCAGCCTGGAAACACCTTAACAGAATAAAAGAGGTCATGCATTGCTGGAGTCTTGAAGTCTGGACCGATAGAGTAAAACAGCCGAAACTAGTTATCATGAGATATGATTACTGGACAGTGTCAAGGTAGAACAGATATAAATAATTAGTCCATAACAGGCTCAATAAATTCAACAGTTTATTTCTTACAGAGTGTGTAAAAGTACTTTTACTTCCATTTTCCCAATTTTTGTGAACAGTTTTCTCATCAGTGAAATTCATTTTTACTAAAGTCATTTTCTGTTTGTGTAATTTTACTTGTACTTAGTTATTTTTTCAAGTACTTTCTAGACCTCTGGTTATTTGTAATAATTGCAATAGTTCGCTCAACTGAAAATAACATTTGTTAAGGCCCTGTCACACTAATGTTTTTGACAGCTTATGCCAATAATGAACATTTTGAAGACCTCTACATTGAAGATGGAATCAAAAAAATCAGCTGGAAGCCTCTTTTAGGTGTGTGTGTAGTGTAATACTAATAAAAAATAATAACATTGGTAACTTATATTATCCCACCTCTTCTTCATAAATAAATAAATGAATAAA